CGTCACTGCAAAACAAGAGGCGGTGGTTTTTGAGCTAAGCTATCTTTGTACCGAAACTCAGCAGGGAGCTCCTGGTTGCTTCCTCGGCTGAAGAAGTGGTAAGCGACGGGGTACGGATCTAAGCTTTGGGCTGCTCTAGCTGCGCCGCAGGTGCTCGTCGACTGAGCCCTGCGTCCCCACGGGTTGACTCCAGAGCTGCTTTCCAAGGAAGCCAGAAGCACTGAGCGTTTGTGCTTGTTTTTCTGCTGCTGGGAGGAAGAGAGGAGGAGTATTTTGCCTTTTTATTGCAAGACCAACTCCAGGCTTCCTTTCTGCAGGCCTCATGTCTCTAGGGTCTTCTCCTCGGATGTTAATTCTTGCAGCCGTGGGAATGTCATCAGGATGGAGCGGTCGGTATGGATGTGCGCTGTGCTGGAGCTGGGAGAGCAGGGTCAGAGATGCTGCTGGCTGTGGCGTAGCGTTGTCTGGCTCTCTGCACTGCGGGTCAGTGCCTGGGGGTGCTTCCAGCATCGCTTTCAAACCTCCTTTTCTTCCTCCTCGTTGGAGGTCAGGCAGCCCGGACCCAGGCAGCCGCAGGCAGGGGAAGGAGAAATGAAGCACACCAGCAAGTGCACGCATTCAAAACAGAAAGTGAGAGAGGCAGAAAGGCTGCGCGGCTGCCTGCAATTACTGGTTTAGTGTAGGGGTTATCCTGAGGGCAGGGGACAGCAAAGGAGATTTTGCTGGAGACATTATGGTAGGTAAGGTAGCAGGCTGAAAGTTTAAAAAACAAAAAAATTTTTTTTTCAAAAAGGGAGGGGGGAAAAGCGCTCTCTTTTTTTTTTTTTTCCCTTCTACAGGGCTGTCTCTGTTTCTGTGTTCTCGAGGGCTTTTCTGTAATATTGCATTCAATCTCCTGGCTTTAGTCAGTTTGATTAGCATATCTAAATGAGCCTGATAGACTCAGGTTATTTAGGGTCAGAGGATTTACCAAGAAGGGGGAGGGAGACAGCACTCTCAGCGCTCCCAAATCAAGTAATAACACAAAAAGACCTTGAGAGTGGGAGTGCTTTCACCGGCTCCCCCTCCCAGCACCCCCAGGCAGGAGCAGCGTGGACATGCTCAGCCTTCCTCGCTGGCCACAAAGGATGCTTTTGGCACCTCTGGCTGGGCCCAAGCACCTCTTCAACTCTGCTGCAGGAAGAAGTGTCTTTTAATGAGGCTGCTTTGGGCTCTTTAGCATTTTATTTATCTGAATGTTGGCCTTGTGCTGCATTGCTCTGTGGGGTGATTTATGGCACTGTAGGCACTCCGGGTGTCTGTGCGTCTTTGGCGATGCTGCGAGTGCTGGCTCAGCCCAGCCAGCAGCTTTTTGTGGTGTGGGGCCAGGAGCTGCTCAGAGGGACCTGCTGGAGCCAGCTCTCATCGGGGCAGGCTTCTGGCTGTATTTAGGCAGAAAGCAGCTGCATTTCAGTCGTTTTCCCCGCAAGACCCTTCCTCGCCAGTCTACGCAGCAGGCAGCAGTCGTCGAGTCTGTTGTCCTCAGCATCACCCATGTCAGGCTTCGGCTGAAACAGGTTTGATGAAAGGGAGAGGGAATCGGACCCCCGTGTAAAGGCTTGAGGTTTGCAGCATTCACGGGGGATGCTGAAGTCTGTCCCTGGGTACTTCTGGCTCCAGCTGACTGCTGAATTGCAGTGCATGCTACGCTGTGGGCACCCAAAATCTGCTATCAGGAGCTGCAGTTCTGGTGATGGTTGCAGCAGCTGTTTGTCTGTGCCCCCCATCACCTGCCTCCAAAGCAGCAGCCGCACAGCCCCGCATTGCTGCTACATGTCCCTTCTGCTTACGGCAGCGGGCAGCCCCTTCTCGGTGGCTGGCTTGGAGCTGGGGCAGTGCAGTGGGAGGCTGAGCTGGCTCAGCCCTGAAGAGCTTGCACCCTGATTTGGTTTTATTTGGGTGATAGGCTCAGGAGCTAGGGCAGGTGCATAGTTTGAAACTGGATAATATAGATTTTCCTTGTTATTTTTTTCTAGTTTTAGTTAGCTGGCGTCACCCTAAACTTTGGAGATGTGGCTTGGTGGTTTTGAAGCGTCTGTTTCTTGCATGCAAGGCTGATGGTCTGGGCCAGGGCAGCCATCCAGCATGGTGTAACACGTGCTGTCTTGTGAAGGACAAAGACAGCAATGCATTTCTGGGACTGAAAGACGGAGATGACCCAGCCTCTTCACTGCACTTGGATATCAAACCGCTCCCAGCAACAGGGATCCAGCCTTCCTCTCCTGGCTAGGTGACTTCCCTGGTTTTCCAGGGCTGCTCCTGACCTGGTCCTGCTGCTGCCCCTGGGCAAGTGTGGCTTGGCTGGGCATCAGTGGGTGGGTTGGTGCAGGAGCAGGAGGCACCAGAGCAAGGATGTGCGTAGCAGGGTTGTGCTGTGGGGATGCTGGGGGACAAATGTCTGTGCTGGAGGATGGGATCCTCCTGCCAGCGCTCTGCAGTAGAGCTGTTTTTGGGGGACCTCTGTGCTGGCTGTGTCTGGGCTGTATCTCTCCTTCTCAGACAAGCTTTCCGACTGCTTACAAGGCTGCTCCCGTGGCATCGTGTGGATTCGCTTCCATTGGAGGGGATGGATGCCCCAGGGACTGGGCTGACTAAAGCGCTGCTCCCGTGGCCAGCACAGAGCTACTGCCAGAGAGGTGTGGGTGGGACGGGAGGGTGTAACCCTGGCCACGGCAGCTCTGTCTACAGCTCTAGATGGTACAGTCGTGGGAATGAGGAGACTGGCCTGTTTTTTTGTACTCTGCCTACATGGTTAGAGGGGACACAGTTCTTTTTGCCTGGGGTTATATTTTGGGAAGCTGCTGTTTTATCAGAAGAATGATAAGGTCTTGATATTGAGACTTCCAAAGGGATTTTGTTTCTTTTGCTTTTGTTTTGGAAACATTCCCCCTCCTGTGCCTGTGTGAAGAAGCTTACGTTCTATCAACAGAAGTGGAAAAGGTGCTCATCTTTTCTTTGTGTCTCTTCCTGCGCTCTGCAAACCCTCCTCCCACCCACCCCCAAATCTGTTGATGTGCCAGAGCCCCTGACTACCGTTGGTCTTTACTGAATTCATGAAATTCTGCAAAACTTCCACAAAGTACATCTGTGTTCCTGACCCAGAAGGAACAACAGGAAGGTTGGTGTAAAAGGACCAAAGTCCTAACTGGAGGCAGTGGGAGAATTGAGGGCTCCGGAGAAGGTGCTCCAACACATCAAGAGACTTAGGGGGGTGGGAGAAGGGTTTGCAGAAGGCAAGAAGAGATGCAAAGAGAGGAAGAGGGAAAGGATGAGCAAAAAAAATGGAATTGAGCAAAAGCCAGCAAAGCAGTGAAGAAGAAAAGGAGCAACATGTAGCTTGTGGCTGCAGAGATTTTTAGTTGTTTTATTTCAGGTGTCTAGCAGGTGCCAAGGCTGCACTAGAAATTTTGGGTCAGGCTGGGGACTACATGATATTTGCGCTGTGTGCATTGGTGCTGGGGAGTTCATGTGGCACCCGCTGGACTCTGCTCCCTTGTCGCTGCCCGCGTGTGGAAGGTGCAGCGGTGCTGGCAGCAAGATGCCTCCCAGCATATGTCTTTAAAACACCGCCGAACAAAACTGAAGCCTCTTCTGAAGGCAGCTCATAAACCTTTCCAGCGTTTGTGTTTAAAAAACACGATCATAGCTCACAGTGCAATTTGCTGTAGTAACTTTCTGAGCAATTAATCCACCTACGTCCTGCCAGGTCTCCTGCGTTTCCTTTGACAGTTCATCACAGGGCACAGAAATTTGTCAGTTTTGGTCCTCCTCACTAATTTTTAGGTTATGTTTTCTTCCGGTAAAACTGAACACTGATGTGAGCAAAGCAGAGCAGGTCAGAGTGAGCTGGGTGATGCCTAGAAAAGAAGGAGCTGATGCTTGCCAGCCTTGCCCTCGGTGGGGAAGCCGGAGAGGCACGTCTGCCATCCCGGCCCCGAGCTTCCTCCTCGCTTCAGGCCATGCCAGCAGGCTTTGAGCCCCACCAGCAATCTTCTGATGGGGGTTAGAGGAGGAGAAGGCAAAGCTCAACTGAGTGTGGGCAG